GTATTGAAAAAATAAGTCCAAACTGCACTGAAAGCATTAGTGAAAAACAAGGGTCAAGGAATTGATAGGATACCAATTGAAATGTTTCAACAAACTGATGCAGAGCTGGAATTGCTCACTCATCTATGCCAAGAAATTTCAAAGACAGCTAGTAAGTGAACTAACTGGGAGAGATCTGTATTTTTGCCCATTCCAAAGAAAAGTGACTCAACAAAATGCAGAAATTTTCATACAAAATCATTGTACACACAAGTTTAATTTTGCTGAAAACAAATTCAAAAGCAGTTGTAGCAGTACATCAACAGGATTCCGAAGATGTAGAACAAGGGATATCATTGCTGATGTTAAGATAGATCTTAGCTGAAAACAGAGTTTACCAGAATGATGTTTACTTGCGTCTTATTGACTGTACAGGACATTCAACTATGTGAATCATAGCAAACTGTATATAACATTGAGAAGAATGGGATTTCCAGAACACTTATTGTGCTCATATGGAATCTATATAGACTAGTGAAACAAGGGAATACTGCATGGTTTAAAACCAGAAAAGATGTCCGTCAGTGTTGTGTCTTTTCACCATATGTATTTAGTCTGTATGTTAAGCTAATAAACCAGGAAGATAGACTATATGAAGAGGAATGTGACATCAGGATTGGAGGAGGGCTCATTAATAACCTGTGTTAAGCAGATGGTGCAGCCTTGCTTTCTGGAAACAGAGTACTTGAAACACTTATGAAGATCAAAGACTATAGCCTAAGTGTAGATTACAACTCAATGTAAAGAAAACAAAAATGCTCATAACAGGACCAATAAACAACATCATAAATGGAAAAAAGAATTTCATTTTACCTTGCCCCACAATCAATGCTCATGGAAGCAGTAGTCAAGACATCAGAGGACATAATGCACTGGAAAAAACTGCTGCAAAAGACCTGTTTAAAGTGCTAAAGAACAAAGATGTCACTTTGAGGACTGAGGTGTGCCTGAAGCATGCCATGGTATTTTCAGTCACCTCCGATGCATGCAAAAGCTGGACAATGAATAAGGAAGACCTGTAGAAGAATCGATGCATTTATTTGAATTGTGGCATTGGTGAAGACAGATTTGTTCTGTATTTTCACTTGGGAAAGAGCTCCCTCCACTGAAACAGAGTAAGAGCTGTCTCACAACTCATTTTATTCTAATCACTCCATTTTCTCTACCATGGTTAAACTTTTTACAGATGTGGTGACAGTCATGTTCCTTTTTTTTTTTTTTTT